TGGGCCAGATTTCCCGAGACTGATCATACGTGCCAGTGCAACAACACCCGACATAATCCTCTCTAATAACGAGGCCGTCCTGAACAAGCACGTTACCGCCGGTCCCATCAGTACCAGCGACCACCTGCCAGTCGTCGTGACGCTCTCATCCAAACCCATCATGATCCACACCAAAATCGGGTCAAATCTCAAACTGGCAGACTGGAACTCCTTCAAACAGGGGAGGAACCTGGAAAAGGCCAGCCCCAGTGACATCGACGACGCGGTCGAGCAATGGTACACTGATGTGAAGATGGATATGGACAACACCATCCCGACCACCACCCACAAGACCATTCCCCACCCTCACACTAGTCACTAGCTGAGGCAGCTCAGTGTCCAGTACGATCACGTGAGGCAGCTAGCCAGTATTCGCGGATGGACGCAAGAGCTGAGAGACCGGTACTGAGAGCTACAGACGGACATCCAGCATGAGAGCAAACGTCTACATGAACAAAAGTGAGCCGACTTGGTGTGGGAGGAAGCCAACAACTACCGCGACTCTGCTGCCTTCTGTAAGGGGATCAAGCGACTGATGGGTTCCACCTCTAAAACGATCCCTTACCTGCTCGACCAAAACAAAGAGAAAGTATCCGAGAGGGAAAACCAAGAACAATTACATCGGCGATATTTACGGATGATGTTTACCATTAGTGAACAGGAGAACGAGGGCTTCGACAAGGAGTTTGAAAGAACATTTGTGGTCAGTTGCAGAATCAATAGCACCTGCTGCAGCCGCTCACACGGACTGATTTCACTAGACTGACTGACGACAGCTACCCGACAGAGCGCATAGTTCCTGCACATTTGTCATCCGTCATAAAAGGTTTCAAAAACAAGTCATCTTGGCAAAGCTATATTAACAAAAAGATCCTGGCCCAACTCCCCGACAACATGGTAGAGAGGCTTGCTCATATATGCAATGCCTGCCTTGCCTCTGGATACTTCCTTAAGATGTTCAAAATCGCCGTTATACGTCTCATACCAAAAGCAGGGAAGCCTCCAAACTAAGTCGAAAACTTTCGAACGATTTCGCTACTGGAGGTACAGTTGCGGAAATGTGTCTCCAAACGGTCAACCTATATGACCTATAGCAAACCTATCCACCAATCACGTCCGTCGTTTGGAGGCACGGGTTATCACAGGAGGCGTAGAAACACATTTCCGCAACTGAACCAGCCACAATCCTCGAAAGAATAGTAAACACCCGGACAAAGACGTTCATAATCCCCGTCAGTTCGGGTTCCGCCAGAACCAAGGCACATCCACCGCCATAGCTCAGGCCTACGAGCAGATCGCTAACGCCATGACTGACCACCTGCAGTGCAACGTAATGCTGAGGGGAGTCAGCACGGCGTTTGATAAGGTTTGGCACGCGGGGCTGCAGTATAAGATCATACAACTGGGGCTACCCGAAAACCTGACGCTCCTGCTGTGCAACTTCATTACTGACCGCAGAGCCAAAATCAAGATGCAAGAACATTGTGGGGACGAATTCTTACTCTCGAGCGGCGTGCCTCAGGTTCTTGTCTCTCACCAGCCCTTTTCACGCTCTACACTGGTGACCTGCCACCCCCAATTATCGACAGCGAGTACGTCATGTATGCCGACGATGTGACACAGATCGTCACCTGCCCAGGAAGGTCCACGGCAAGGATGGCGCGACTCATTGCTCGGGCAATACAGGATATCTCGGGGTATAAAAAAAAGGAACATAAAACAAACAAAACAAAATTTGAGGTCATTCCCAAAGCCAAATTCAAGGCGGACTCACTGATGATCGACGACGAAGAGATTGAGTACTCCAAGCAAGGCAGGTTGCTTGGCCTCATTACTTCCCACGAGAAGGACTGACTAAGGAAAGCCAAAGTCGCCGCCGCCAAATTAAAACATTTTAAACTGATGCCTGAGAAGATACAAGTCCACCTGTACAAGGCGCTGGTGAGGCCCGTATTGGAGTACCCACACGTACCACTCGTCACGCTCGGGAAGACTAGACTACAACAACTACAGAGTTTCCAAAACAAGTGTCTGAGGTCCGCCAGTAGCCAAGCGCCACCCTACCAGGAAACAGTGAAAACCATCCACTTGAGAAATAAAACAGGGCTCTCAACGTCAGGTTCCATCGCCTAGGGAAGAAGGTGTGGGACAAGCTCCTGGACGACCCTCACAGCCCAGACCACCGACGCGGGAATTAATTTATTTTATTTTATTTTGCCACTTACAGCAGCTAGTTTATTGTGCACTCCATACTCATCCTGTGAGCGGTAGCGCAAAAGGATGACAGAGTAGAGTTCACAAACGGTCTGTATAACTAACCCGGTGGTCAGGATATTATGGCATTGAATGTTACAGAGTATTTCAAATAAATTATTTGTTTAGTTCTGTACATAAAGGGTAACTTATTCGGAACTGCGTGAGTACAGGAGTGTGAGGCAATATGTCTAGCCGCACACTTTGTCATTCTCATTTCCGTGAGAGGTATTCAAGCATATTGTGTGTTTGGTTCTAAACATGGGAACTGATATAGCTACTAAATGTAAAAAAAGTGCATACAATCTTAATATGTCGGCTATTTTGCCATTAGAGATAAAGTGTTGTGTCATTTCACACATAGTGTGCTTGGACCTGTCCCTAAAAGGTTCTATCTTCACACAGTCGAGGAGGTAGTGTTCGAGTGTGTGGCCATATGTCTGGCCAGACACTTTACATTTCGTTTTGTTCACAACCGCTTGAGGGATATACTGCCAGAGGTACTGATATCCTAACCTTAGTCTAGCGGTTACAACATCTTGTAATCTAGTGATTTTGTTACTTGCTCTATATACATATTTCACTTGATACATCTCATTAAGGTAAATAATGGATCGATTAGTGACTGTTTGCATTTGTCTGGTTCCGTTAAATTCATCAGTAAGTTCCTTTCTAATTACAGTTTTAAGGGTTCCTTTTGGCAGACCCTGGTTGTATTCAAAAGTGTTTTTGCTAAACGCAAGTTTGGCGAGGGCATCAACTCTGTCATGTCCTTTGAGGTCTATGTGAGAGTGGATCCACAACTGTTTGATCCATACACCCCGGTCAAATAGGTACACATATTTGTGTCTGGCTTCAGAAACAAGCGCGTGACAACTTAAGTTAAGGGGGTCAAGAGCAAGTAGTGAGGACAGAAAATCAGTGATGATGAGACTGTCAGTGACAGTGGTTTAAATAAATTTTATAGCTGTGAGTATGGCAACTATTTCAGTTTGTAGAGTGGAGGACCAGTTGTTAATTGTAACTCCTTTTTCAATTGTATTACCGTTAGGTTGAGTCACAACGATAGAACTTCCAGCCCTCCCACAGGCGATGCTAAGAGATCCATCAGTGTAGATCAGGGGTCACCAAACTACGGCCCGCGGGCCGGATCCGCCCCGCGACGTCAGTTCATCAGGCCCGCCGACGTCAGTGAAACGTCAGTTTCACAAATCTCACTAACCTTTTTTGCTGCTTAGTTTGTGATATTCGGATATGTGCACACTAGGTCTGATGTAACTATCTTTTTGCTAACGTCGCCTTCTTTGATAACTTTTTAGTAAATAAATATGTTGGTTGTCTTTGTTTTTTGTGCATTGCACGCCACTCACCCATGATTAACATGGAATGCTAAACTTAGTTTTTCGTCTTTTTTCCTAGAGCTTTCGTTCTGGCTTGCAAGTATTGAACAGAATGATTATGCGGCCCACGCTCGTCATTCTTTCAGTTATCCGGCCCACTGTGAAAAAAGTTTGGTGACCCCTGGTGTAGATGGTCTGTGTGATATTATCACCATTCTGTAGGGTGTGTATGTGTTCAAGAGCTCTGTGGAGAGAAGTAATCTCATTAACTTTATGCTGGGCAAACAGCACGATGAGTGTGATGTTTCCATATACTGAGTGGGAGCTTGACGCCGCCCTCGCCAGGGGTAGATCCACTGTCCCTGGTAAGAATGGAATCGCCTGCAATATCGTTAGACTACTCAGGCGTGTGCCGGGCAACCTTTTATTCACATTATACAATATAATGCATGCCGCAGGTCAACTACCCACATCATGGACCAAAAGTATTGTTGTACCAATACCGAAACCAGGACATCCTGATTCCTTTCGTTCCATATCACTAACCAGCTGCATGTGTCACACCAATGACCGGATCGTTCTCGGCAGACATATGGCCACACACTCGAACAATACGTCCTTGACTGTGAGAAAATAGAACTTTTTAGGGACATGTCCAAGTACACTTTGTGTATACTGGCATAGCACTTTCAGCCGTTCTTTTAGTCGTTCGGGAGCTCGCTCACCACACATGAATGGGTTTCTTAAACGCCTTTCGGAACGACTAAGAAAGCGGCTGATTATCTCTAATGGTTAGATATAGTTGACATTAAGATTGTATCCATTTTTAACACCCAGTACCTCTCACACAATTAATGTGAATAACAAAGCGCGCGGCCAGACATATTGCCTCACACTGCTGTACTCACGTGGTTGCGAATAAGTACAGAACAAAACATGTATATTTGAAATACTTTATTACATTCAAAGACGTATTGTCCTGACCACTGGGGTCTGTTATACGCACCTTTTGTGACCTCTACTCTGTAAACCTTTTGCGCTACTGCTCACAGGTTGTGTGTGGGATGCTCTATAAACTAGTCGCTGTATATGTTTAGACTATGGCTGTTGTACTTGTCAATAAAATGTTTATCATTATTACATACATCCATGATTCATCTTTAACTCAGGTAGGTATCGGTTTAGTTCTATACACGATGTGACTTATCAGACATAACATGAAGAAAAATAACCTATAGAAAGAGGAGGTAAAATTAATATTGTTGCAAGATATTTGTTGAAAATTAAAATTGTAAAAAAAAAAAAAAATTTACAAGATGTTGAAACTTCTTTGTAGGAATTATAGCATCACAAAATTAAACTCCAAAATTACTGCAGAACATAACTTTATTACACGTTATATCTATTGTAGTTTACGCAGCGATAAAACTGTCATATGAGGTATACACACAACAATATAACCGATGTTTATTGTACAAAAAAGGAAGAGGCACTTTTGCATCAGCTGTTTATTGTCCAACATTACGAGGACGAGGATTCCGATAAGTATTTTTTAATTAGTCACCAGCTGAGATTAACGTTCGTGGTTGTCAAGGATGTCCATGGACGTGAGTGTCAAGGACTTCCGTTTTCTTTGTTGTCAATGACGTATAGTTCATAGCCGTGGTAGTCAAGTTTCAACTCTACTTGTGATAATTTGATACTTTATTTCGTGAGATGTTTTGAGAGAAGATTCATTGACTTGATACGGAAGTGAAGGAAGAACTGACCAAGTACAGTACTTTACTCAGATTTAAAAATGCAGACTATGTTGGACTGGCATTTCAACTTCTTCCTTTGGACAGCGGTAGAGGCAAAAGCGACTGTATGTGTGTAAAAGAAAGAGAGAAAAATAAAGAGAGAGAGAGAGAGAGAGAGAGAGAGAGAGAGAGAGAGAGAGAGAGACTATGATAATAATGCGGAGAAGTTTGCGATGATGATTATGAAGTTTCTGCTGAGCGTCACACATTCACCCTGCACATCATACTTAAAAATATATACTTTTGACTTTCAGAGCATCTTTGGGCTAACTCACAGTGAGGCGTCGGGGGGAGTAGGGAGAAAATAATCGGTAAATATTGTTTTCTGCCAATTTCAGAATACTGACAAAACACAGCCAATAAATGTAAATTGAATTTTAGATTTTCGCTTGTGGCCAAATTTTGTGGTCCAGTTCACTTGTTCCCAAATTGTTCATCTTAAATTACTTCCCCGACAAGACCATATGTGTGTGAGCCTTCAACCTACGCTAGTTTTGACATATAAATCTTCTATTACGAAACTAAACGGGAAGAAACCCTTCCTTAACAGCCTTAATGCCTTAAGCTTACAAAAATATCATCACCGACTTCTGCAGTAGCCTGAGTACCCTGTTCACCCAATACAATACCTCGCCTTCTACACTATGACAAGCAGAAACTGAGTACTGCTTGGTTATTGGGGCAAGTATGAGGAGAGAATCCTGGGGACTCTTAGATGAATGTTTTTAGCACCTCGTAATGTATTTATCGGTATTCCTGTAGTTAATAATGGAAGGCGAGTTTGGTGAATCAAGAGTCAAGGGTCAGTCCACTAACAGGGGTCACCAATGTCCTCGTCGCCTTGGGTCAGAGGTCAGTGGTCGGGAGCGTTGTGGGCCAGCTCAGCCTGAGCTTTGTAAAGTTCGAAGAACTTCTTCTTGGCCAGTTGGACTTCTAGGGTGTCAGTCACGGGCGTTAGAGTGACCAGGTTGAGTCTCTTCGGGGTGAGGGCGTTGGCCATTCTGTTCTCGTACTCCCACCCGTTCCTACCCCAGATCATGGACCTGGATCCATCTTCCTCAGAGGAGGAAGACGAGTCTTCACCCTCCTCCGAGGAAGAACCTTCCTCCGAGGAGCTATCTTCGTCTCCTTCATCCTCCTCGCTAGAGGAGGAGTCCCCGAAGTAATCTTCTTCGGATGAGGAAGAATCCTCACCTTCTTCGCTGGAATCCTCGCCTTCGTCACTGGAATCCTCGCTTTCGTCACTGGAATCCTCTTCGTCAGAATATTCATCATCACCCTCTTCCTCCTCGTCCTCCTCTTCATCATCCTCCTCTTCCTCTCTCTCTTCCTCCTCTTCATCTTCTCCGTCACCTTCTTCGGTCTCCTCCTCCTCTTCGGAGTCGTCAGTGGAGTATCGGTAAAGGACGTTGGTCTGGTCGTCGTCGCTATAGGCTCGGCTCCCGATCATCGCCTGCGTGTATCTCTGGCTGCCGACCACATCAGTATCAGGCGCTTCGGCGGCCAACCTGTCGGAGATAAACAAAACCAAAATCAACACTTAAATCACAGGAACTCAAATCTATAAACCCTATTATTTATCTTCTTGAATATCGTAGGCTTCTTGTACTATGCACTTGATAAATCCTTAATATTCATTCCTAAGTGTCCTGAAATACGGACTTACACGACGCAATAAGATATAAGAGTGCCATATAGCCACTTGAAACCTGTGGTCCTTGGTTCCTGATCATTACGCACCACACACGTCGTCCATAAGCAACTCTTTGATCGATCCCTCTGAGCTGGTCACTGTGAGCCCTGGGTCGAGACACTGAGACTATGACCTACTTTACCTACGAAAGGAACATGCTAAATTTATCTTATTGAGCCGATCTTAATGAGCTACGAGGGGCTGCCTTAATCAAGTTATCAAAGAATTCTGTCGTTTTTCTAATTTTAAACTGGACATACGAGCTGAAGGATAGACTGCCTGGCATGTCTTTAAGTTACGGATACTTAATAACCTCTTGTGGTAAATTGGTGTTATAGTTTTTTTTTATATTAGACCCTTAATTAAAAAAGTTTATATTTAGAGAAAATTAAGAAAATTAAGTAAGGGATGGGAGAAGGATGATGTTAAGCTGAAATTGGACGATACATTATGAGAATAGACATTCTTAGGGCTCACTCCCGTGTTGTCCAATATCTCTGGAGCTTAATAGTCTTATTTGAGAGAACATTGTATACCACATCAAGTCATAGCCTATTTATTTAACCTTCCAAAACAGTTTATAATTTGTTTTTGTTTTTGAAATATTAAACAAAATCGTAAATAATAGCACGAGAAGGAAGTACACCTCTCTGTACGAGTATACCTTTAGGCGTACAGTTAAGGTGAACTATCCTGGAGAGGAGCCAAAAGTTGTGACATGTGAAAACGTCTTTGTGAGACTTTTACTGTAAATCAAAACTCAAGTATGTTTTATGTACAGAATAGAAAAGAGTCAATACCCTTGATAAAGTAAGAGACTTCTATGAGAAGAAACTTTAACACTCCTCCTTAAAAAGCTTCAAGGATCCATATACAGTATACTCCAGAAAACTCCCCAAAGACAACAAAATTAACTAAAAATTAAGTATTGAATTACTATTGCAAAAAAATCAAAATGGATTGCAACCTTCCTCTTCTTGCTTATACACTATAATATGTACCGTAATGATGTCTACTGTACAGTTGTCATAATTACCCGATATATACTGTATAAGACGGGGTAAATAGATACACTGTAAATAGGCACTGAAAGACATAAGTATTGCAAGCTAATCATAAAGTTAAAAGTACTGATGTTTTTCCCTCTAGCTCACGACCCTGAGGTTCATGATCATAGTGACAATATTCTCTTTCTTTATTAGATACGAGAGAGAGAGAGAGAGAGAGAGAGAGAGAGAGAGAGAGAGAGAGAGAGAGAGAGAGAGAGAGAGAGAGAGAGAGAGAGAGAGAGAGAGACTAGTACACCTCTAAAGTTACATTTTGTTGTGTAAGGAAGAACTTGGATATGAAAATTTATTATTATTAGAGTCGGTGTCTATCAGTGTTTGTCTCTGGCTGTCCATTTGCAACTGGTCAAAGGGACTCTTTCACTCCGTCCTGGTCACTCGTGGGTGAATCGTGAAGCCCATTACAAACAAACCAGTTCCCGTGGATTTAAATAACTGAATTTTATGCATTTGCGTCGGTAGTAATTTTATGATAGTGGTAAAGGGAATCTTTGTGTGGCCTCTGAGAACGTGGGGGAGAGTAAATGGGGGAAGAAGAGTGACCATGATTGCGTGGGGACAAATTGAAGGGGAAGAAGATGGTAGCCCTGGGGATGAGAGGACAAACAGGGGGGAATGAATGTGTCCGTGGGGGGATGAAGGGAACCCCCCCCCCCGCGCAAACAAACAAACTAAAACACTATAAAGTTTCTTAATTAGTGGAAAACACCTGAGACTCACCTGGCTTGCTTTGCGTAGAGCCTGAAGAACTCCTGGCGGGCCTTCTTCACCTCCGGGGTGTTCTGGACGGGAACCAAGTATTGCCTATGGTCGGTTACCTGCTGACGACCTGCTGTAAATGAAAACAAAAACACAACTCCGTCAATACATTACAAACTATGAGGTTTATAATGAATATTTGGTTAATTTATTTATGAACTATTAATATGTATTTTCGTAGTTTTATGACTCAATAGGAATAAGATAATTACACAATGTTTAAAATTCGTAAGATTTTATAACTAACAATAGAAAACGGAAAACTGTAAACATCAACTCAGAAAAATATATAAACAGAAATAAAAAATTTTTGATGCCTTCGCAAGCAGCAAGTGTTGTCAAACTGATGAACCTTTAAACGTTATACTTGATATATTTCTCTATTTAAATTATTCAGTTGACTTTTTATTTTCTTCGATAGGATTATTTAGCTCATAATACACCATCAATTCTCATGCTTCTCTGGAATGACTTCAACACACATCCTTCTGTATCTGTCCTTGCCATTTCCTATCCCTATTGTGTCTCATAACTCTCATCATTCTACAGTCTCCTGGTACACATTCTTTGCCCCTCCCCTTACTGTCTATATCCGCCTCGTGGCGCATTTGGTTACAGTTGACGTCCCTCGGAATGACACTTCAGCTTTAGTCATTAATTATTGTGTCGTGTATACCAATTTTAGCCCGACACACACACACACACACACACACACACACACACACACACACACACACACACACACATATATCATTATGTCTAAATCAAATGTAAGTCTGTATATTTTCAGCCACCGGCTGCAACTCTATTAATAAACCGTGTATTATTAGTATTATTATTATTATTATTACTACACACACACACACACACACATACTCGCGCGCGCGCGGGCGCCTACGTTACTCGGAATCAATAGTTCACAGAAGTTTATGGGGGTGAAGCGGGGCAGAAAGCTGGGTGTGGCGCCATGCACTGAAAAATATGTATTATTGTCTAAATGCCTTTGATCTCCTGGCAGATGTGTCAGGTCCACGTTGATACTTAGTGTCTAATATTACCACTGATAAAAATATGAAATGAAACCCTTCGTATATTAATCTCATGGCAATACATGTACAAACTAGAATATACTTAGTTTATACATATTTATTGATTTATTTGTTTATTAATTCATATACCTGTCATTGGTAGAAGCTGAGGGGCAACAGATAACACAGTGCCTGGCGGATGAATGCCCGTACTGGCGTTGTATTTATGATATGGACTTAATGCCTCTAGTGCCATATATCTAGACGACCTAGTTTGTTCGTGACCTCAGTAAGCTCAGTGACGCACCGAATGAATATAGCTCATAATTTTATACCTCTTACTGAGATAATATGATAAACTTAATCAAATTCAAAATTTCACATTACATTAGAAATTCAAAATAACCAAGAGTATCGACTGCTATACGATTGGTTCGTTGGTAAGTACAACAAAAGCGAATTGGAAAATTTAATAAATCAAGGTAACGTTTCGTAGAGTGTTTGGGGCTCTTGGGTCCTGGTGTATGTGAGGCAGCATAATAAACAGATTCACCTCACCTCGGTTATATTATCTTACTGATGTGTGTTAAGTCTTGTGTGTAAAATCCAGTTTTTACCTGTACGTACCCTATATATATCCGGACGTGACTAATCTTACCTGTACGTACCCAAAAAACTACCCGTTTTTGACTCGTATTGTCTGTACATTACCAAGAAATGCATGTACGTGACTCATCTTACCTGTAAGTACCAAAGACATACCTGTACGTAGCCAAGAAATACCCGTACGTGACTCACCTTGCCTGTATGTGTCTGCTGCTGTTCTCTGTACTGTGGGCGATGCTACGGCGTTGCTGCCCCTGGAGCTAGACCTGTGTATGGTGGAGAAGGAGTAAGCAGCGCTCGGCACGGTCTTGTGAACGTTGGAGTAAGAATACGTGCCTCTAGGCGCTGCCTCTGCCACCAGTCGTCCATTCTCCAGCACCAACACCGCCGCCGTAGCCACCAACAGTACCTGAAGAAGTGAGAGATGGAAGAGTTAGTCTGTGATGGTGTGACAAATGAACCACTAACACATTCACATACTTTATATACCGATATAACCAATACCTGTTTGATCTAGATTTTGAAATATATATCTTACAGGTTTTCATTTCACAAGTGCTTTCCTCTACGATATATGAAATATTCCTAATTGTATTTGTATCTGAGCGCACAGGTCACAGTATCAAGCTCTTGCACACAGGTAAGTGATGAGATAGTTCTTAACACTGAACCTTCACCATAGGCTTTGGACAGAGGACAATTGCCTCCCATATCGTAACACAATCGTGAAGTATAAAATATCTGAGACTACTTCAACTATGAGATGGAAGGAAACGATGTAGTCTGAGTTGATAATACGAAGATAAGATATGATTGAATATGATCGTTCACCCCATACCTATTGAAACCTCATTTCGCTTTTGTACATCAACCCCCTCCCTCCACCTTCCTCCTCCCCTCCCATATAACAGTGCAAATACACGTAGAAGCAATCACCTAAAGAGACCCTCCCTGTGCGTGGGGGGGTGGTTAACCTTGAGAAGGACGCTAGTAATCTTAGGTAGGTGGTCGAGGAAGGTCGCAGAGATGTACAGAGGGCATTACTCGCTCTCTGGCCTTTGTGTAATATATATTACTTGTTTTGAAATTGTTCACTACTGTAAGTCGTTATGTAAAAGGCTTTGACGTGTTTCTCCCTCAGAATGAGTGAGTGTTTTCAGTCCTGAATTGAAGACTTGAGGGAAAAATAGGTTTAGCTAAGATCTAACCTGAAGGACTGCGAAGATAAAACTCAGGACTTGTGAAATTCTGAACTGTGAAACTCAGAAGTCTGAAATTTGGAACGATATTAAAGTTCGAAAAAAGTATTGACGAAACATATAACTTAATCGTAGTTCCTCATCTCCCTAATACTGCACTAGATTTGGTACAAGTAGGAAGAACAGTGAATTGAAGAGTCTATAGTAGTCCCATTACATAGTGTTGAGCTGGTGGACAGCATTAGTTTAATGTAGTGTTGGTTGACACGGTCATGGTCAGACCGAGGGAGAACAGATATTGTGGAATTCAGAATCTAACATTTCTGCTTCAGTTAATTTCACGTTTTCAGACAACAGTCATTTAATTCGCTCTCTCTTTCACACACACACACACACACACACACACACACACACACACACACACACACACACACACACACACACACACACACTATGTAAACTTATAGTGCGATTATGTAGTACGGATGTGTGTTCATATTACCCATTTCTTTTAGTGTGTGTGTATATATATATATATATATATATATATATATATATATATATATATATATATATATATATATTATGACATAACAAGATATTACAAGCCATGAGCGGTACCCAAGACGGACCACGCCGCCACTCTCGTTGAAGGTAAACGAGCTTTTATTGTGAGTCTGGATGGGTGTGGCCCAGTTTTTCTATCAGCGGGAAGCAAGGAGGAAGTTGAGGGGAGGCTTAAGTGTCGACAGGACTTACAAGGAAGAGGAAACGTGGCCATATGCTGAGTTAAATCAGATTTTTTAGATTTTTAGATTGCCCACGAGGGGAGGGGGCAGGTTTATTGGGCACCCCTTTACATCCTGTGCAAGGTGAAGCGCAGAAGCGTTTACAGCGCCCATCTGGGAAGCATGCGGAGTTCATGTGTGCCTTTATGACTCATGCATTAAGGACGTAAAAGCCTGAAGGGTCATGGGTTTTGTCAGCGATGTAAGTGGTAAGTTGACCAGAGACCTGCGGAGCCTGGCGAGATGGAGTGGTGAGGCTGTGTGAGGGAGGTGGGCTGTGCAGGGGAGGATATGGGCTGTGAGGGTGGAGGCTGTGGGGAGGTACGCTGTGGGAGGAGGGAGGCTGTGAGGGGAGGATGGGCTGGAGGGGAGGGTAGGCTGTGAGGGGAGGTAGGCTGTGGGGAGGGTAGGCTGTGAGGATGGGAGGGAGGCTGTGAGAGAGGGTAGGCGTGAGGGGTAATTGTAGGCTGTGAGGGGTGAGGGTAAGCTATGAGGGGTAAGGATATTCTGTGAGGGGAGATAGGCTGTGAGGGGTGAGAATAGGCTGTGAGGGGTGAGGAAAGGTTGTGAAGGGGAAGAGTACGCTGTGAGAGGTGAGGGCAAGTTGTGAGTGATGAGAGCAGGCTATGAGGAGTCAAGTAGAGGCTGTGAGTGGAGAGGTTAGGCTGTGAGGGGTGAGGGCAGGCTGTGAGGGGGACGGGGCATTAAAGGGTGCTTGTGGTAGTGGTGGTGGTGGAGGGCAGAACAGGGTGTGTGTGGTGTGTGGGAAGGTCATACAGGATGTGTGTGGTGGTGGTGGAGGGAAGTACAGGTGTGTGTGTGGTGGTGGTGAAGGGCAGTACAGGGTGTGTGTGGTGGTGGTGGTGGGAAAGTCATGCAGGGTGTGTGTGGTGTGGTAGAGGAAGGGCAGTTACAGGGTGTGTGTGGTGGAGGACAATACAGGGTGTGTGTGGTGGTGGTGGAGGAACGTAGTACAGGGTGTGTGTGGTGGTGGTGGTGGTGGTGAAGAGCAGTACAGGGTGTGTGTGGTGGTGGTGGAGGAAGGTAGTACAGGGTGTGTGTGGTGGTGGTGGTGAAGAGCAGTACAGGGGTGTGTGTGGTGGTGGTGGAGGAAGGTCGTACAGGGTGTGTGTGGTGGTGGTGGAGGTATGATGTGGTGTGGTGGTGGAGGAAGGTCGTACAGGGTGTGTGTGGTGGTGGTGGAAGGTCATTACAGGGTGTGTGTGTGGTGGTGGAGGAAGGTCATTACAGGGTGTGTGGTGGTGGAGGAAGGTAGTACAGGGTGTGTGTGGTGGAGGACAAGCTGGGGTGTGTGTGGTGGTGGTGAAGGGCAGTACAGGGTATGTGGGGTGGTGGTGAGGGCAGTACTGGATGTGTGTGGGTGGTGGTGGTGGAGGAAGGTGGTACAGGATGTGTGTGGTGGTGGTGGAAGGTCGTACAGGGTTTGTGTGGTGGTGGAGGAAGGTCTGACAGGGTGTGTGTGTGGTGGTGGTGGTGGTGATGGTGAAGGGCAGTACTGGATGTGTGGTGGTGGTGGTGGTGGAAGGTAGTACAGGATGTGTGTGGTGGTGGTGGAAGGTCGTACAGGGTGTGTGTGGTGGTGGGGTGGGTAAGGGTGTGTGGTGGTGGTGGTGGAAGGTACAGGTGTGTGGTGGTGGTGGTGACAGGTAGTGTGTGGTGGTGGTGAAGAGCAGTACAGGGGTGTGTGTGGTGGTGGAGGAAGGTACAGGTAGTGTGTGGTGGTGGAGGGCAGTATGTGTGTGGTGGTGGTGGAAGGGAAGGTCAGGGGTGTGTGTGGTGGTGGTGTGTGTGGTGGTGAAGGGCAGTACAGGGTGTGTGTGTGGAGGACAATACAGGATGTGTATGGTGGTGGTGGTGGTGGAAAGTAGTACAGGGTGTGTGTGGTGGTGGTGAAGGGCAGTACAGGTGTGTATGGTGGTGGTGGAGGAAGGTAGTACAGGTAGTGTGTGGTGGTGGAGGGCAGTATGATGTGTGTGGTGTTGATGGTGGTGGAGGGTAACAGGTGTGTGACGGAGAAGTTTGTGGTGTGTTCAGCTAAGAGATCGTGTTGCCTAGTCGACAGAGCAACAAGTCGAGGGTAATTGGGAATAGAAAAAATAAATAAAAAATCTTAAAAACATGAGATGGTAGGGAAAAAATTCAGGAAAAAATAAGGCCAAGAGTTAATGTGTGTAGGGATGAGGGGGGGGGGCTAGGGGAAAAACAGGATTTTAAGTAGATATGACGGGAAAAACTAACAATGAGAAATCCCGGTGTACAATGGAAGCAAGTGGAGGAAATTAATTATGAATAAAACACACAACCGGAACACTCTCATTTGAAACATTTACTACATAATCTCTTCCATGACGTAACTCACTTATGCTCCCAATAACAACATCAATGACACCAGATGACAACACCTACCATTTGATGTCAACACCAAGGTGAGATGACACATTACCATCATATAGGTCATAAAGTAATCATATATATATATATATATATATATATATATATATATATATATATATATATATATATATATATATGCATAATTATATGTTGTGTACATATCAAACATATACGTATAATATCATGTATGCAGTCATGTGCAAGAAGGCCATGTGTGCGTGAGTGAAGTGTGTATATGTACTCTTATGAAAAATACACATGTGCACGTTTAGATATCGGGTTAGTTTCTTCAGGTGCATAAATAAATATGCAAATAAGTAGTCATATTTGCAAATATAAATGCGCGTCATGCATATATTCATTATTCTGTTATGTAAATATGATTATTTGAGAACATCTGTTCATTACTTTTTTTTGCTGAAGCTGAATCACCCACTTGTCACCCCCAGCACTGTGCGGGAGGCGAGGTGATCACCCAGGTGGGGGTGTGTCAGGGAGAAAGGCTGGGATGGAGAAAGGGCGAGAGGTGGTGGAGGTTTAGTTGTGGCAGAGAGAAAGAGTGAGAACGGTCGAGGGGGTGGGATGGCGCAGGTAGAACAAGGACGAGGGAGAAAGGAGAAGGAGGTAGAATAAGAAGGTCAGGCGGGTAGGTGAGAACAGTGTGGTGGGGTTAACGGAGATAGGAGAGAAAGGGGGGAAGGATGTGGGAGGAAGAAGGTGAGGGTGGAAGAGTGGGTTGGAGAGGAATGAGGGCAATACCGGAGGAAGACGTGTCACGTGATGGAGCAAGGAGGCTGGTAAAGGGGTATTGAGAGTGAAGGTGGGAAGGGGGGGTAGGAAGGCAATTACACAGGAGAGGAAGGGAGGTGGGAGAGAGAGGGACAGGACAAAAAATGGGGGTGGTAAGACTAGAGATGGTTGTTGGTATCTTATAGTTTGGTGTTTCAACAACCAGGGTAATGGATCACCGATTACTAGTCTTAACATCGTGCAAAAAACAATTATAA